GAAGGGAAGGGAAGGGAAGGGAAGGGAAGGGAAGGGAAGGGAAGGGAAGGGAAGGGAAGGGAACTATCTGTACATAAAGAACCCCCAAAGGACCTCTCTGTCAGAAACCATAGTCACTTTATGTGAATTCCTATATTCTTCTTAACTGTCAGCCTTATCAGGATGGGGAATTTAAAGAATGCTCAATGAAATTAGGTACCAAAATCCACACAGGGTGTAGATATATGTACATCTTCTCAGTAAATGCTTCTTAATGCTGAAGAGCTCTGTGCAGCTATGCTAGATTTTTCTCAGTTAGGAGCATGTGCAATGCATCAGATGCACCATAGTATGGCATTCAGGCCTCAAGTTCTGCTAAAAAAGGAAAGCTATGCAGAATATATGGTAATTGAATGAAATTGTCTGTTTGTCTCTTTGGTCTTAAAGCTCGTGCATATATTTTTGGGCTTGAGAATCAAACAACAAACTGTTCCTACCTTTGCATGTTGTCCTACAGTCAGGTGTTGCTTTTGCTTAAGTTACAGATGGAAAAGAAAATACAAGGGAACTTATCAGACTGGGAATATTCATAGAATATCCACTCAAACATAATACAATTTTGTGTCTCTAAAAATTGCCTCTAGATGTTTGTGCATATATTTTGTTGAAGGCAATTATTGCATCATGTCATGCTGCAATATTGTCCTCAGTCTTGATCCAATTCAATAAGTCCAATTTGACTCATGGTGACAGCTAGTCATCACTGGAATTAGGCTAGCTCCCAGGTTGAATTGCATTATAGCACTAGTTTACCTATGTAAAAATAGAGTGAAAATGTCACCTTGCAGTTGACAAGATAGTGTGACAGATAAGAAGACCCTGTTTTTAATCCGAGTTGTACCGACCATTCAGTAAGAGACTCCAGCAATTCTGTTCTTTCATTTTGTAACTGTGTTGTCTTATCATAGCTAAAACATTTAAAAACAATTCACACTTTGTTTCCAGAGACTGTTACTATCTATCTTGCATCCTAAATTTACAAATAATCTTTAAAAATGAAAACTAGCTAAAGTGTGATCCATGGACTGGACACTCTCCATTTAAGCCTATATAGAGCATGTAATGGTTTGAAATAGCAATCTTTTCTCCATCTCTTCAGTATCTCAGTGTGCCTTAGACCTTATTTTTTCCAACTACCTCATAGAAGTGATTGGGCTTCCTTATACCCTCTGGCTAATAAAGGAGATCTGAATAAAAACATGCTTGTAACATAAGAAATATCCGGGGCATATATAGGTCATATAAATGAATCGTCACTTAAAATTAGGAAAAATTATTTCCAGCATTAACACTGCTCATGACATCCTATTTTGGCAGCAAAAAAATTTCACAAGATATATACTTTAAAACACTGCACAACTCTGTGTTATATAGATTCTCCTCTCCCACCTAGTACTTGAGTGCCTTCCAGGAGCACATTAAGTAATATGACTAATGTATGTCTCATCTTCATTCTTTTACTTTACGCTGAAATGTTACATTATTTTTCAAAAACTACCTGCAAGTTGATGAAATATCATCTTTTCAATGAACATAAAATTTTTACATTACTTGGAAGACCGTGGAAAAATTCAGCCTTTGCAGAAGCACGTACAGTTTCTCCTGACATAACTGAACAAGTACATAGTTGTGTCAGGACAGTTTCTATACATAAGCATTGCAGAGCAGACTCCTTTCTTGATATATGGGAGATCTGCAGACTAAAAAAGCAAGCAGACATTCATGGTAGCATTAATTTTGCTGGATGGCAGTTGATTGAGAATTTCTCTAATTAGTACAGCATGGGAGATCTCTAATTCTGTAGTTGTTGATTTATTATTCTGATCCTGCATAGGGTTACTGATGCAGATAGCTCTCTTAAACTAACTGTCTTTTGTATCAAAGTGTACAGAAGACTAACGGTCTAACTTTTTAATGGCATAATTTACCTTAAGCAGTAGCTCTCGAAGACTAGAGACCTGTAAGAAGACTAAAAATTAAATAAATGTACTACTATTTAGAAGACATTAGCTTTCCTACAGAATTAATATGTATGGTGTCGCATTTGGAATAGCATGAAATTTAAGCTTGTAGATTTACTAATAATGTTTATACCACGGTATAAATAAAGATTGTGACCAGCATGGACCACATGGTGCTAGGTGCTGCACAAGCAGAGAATACATGTCTACCTCTCTTGGTTGGCTTCCAACAAGCTAACTGGGAGATTAATAAGTAATATCCCTAAACAAAGAAAGAGTGGGCTAACAATCTCAGACAAGGAGTGTCAGCAAACTCAGTCAAGCTTTGCTGTGATTGACTTATGCAATGGCATGATCTTTTAAGATGAATAGTGGGATTCACAGGATAGATAGGGATTGCGAGGAGCCATCATGTGAATTGCTTATAGCATCCTCCCAGCATACACAGCCTTTTTGGGAGAGAAGACAAGGGACCTGGATTCACTGTTTTCATGACTGTCTTTCCCAGTTGTCATTCAATTGCACTGGTATGAAATCCCAGCTCCAAACTTAAACCAAATTTTAATTTAAGCCCCAGGTTCTCTGCCATCTTTTTGCCTTCTAGATTGTGTGACTAGAGAGCTACATGTATTCAGCAGTGCAGACAGTGTGGGTTGTTTCTAGAAGGCGAAATGCTGGATATATGAAGTAATAATCAAAGTGATTCAGATGTCAAAGATACCACCATATCAGGGTTAGCAGTGAAAAACATCTTTGTTTGCTTTTCCATTAAGCAGAAGACTGTAGGTTGTAGATGTTGAATTATTCTATTTGGCAACAAAATTTTGATTGTGGGGGGTTTTTTGTTTCTTTAATTTTGGTTTTGTTTTGGTTTTGTTCTTTTCCTACATAAACTATTTAGCAAAAGCCTCTCCTTTTCCAGACGGAATTTATTCCTTACGAAGAGCTGTGGTTTTAATGACAGTTTAGACATTAATATATTTATTAGACTGTGTTTTCCCTATAATAAATGCTTTGATGTAGTTAGTATATTCTCAATATTCTGTGTATACATTTTCATAGCAACCCCTTTCCAGTTATCTGAGAGACCAAAGACTGCGACTCTGCACAACTTCTGCCAAAAATAACAGTTTCTTTCCTTACTGAGTCTTGGTAGACTGGCACACAGTGTTTGGTGGATTCTGCTTTTAGCAGATCACAGTTGCAAATCCTCGAATTTATTGTGACTTTTTTTCTTATGTAGTCTTAGATTCCATCCTGTCTTTAGCATGCAATGATTCTGCAGCAGGGCAGTATGTTAAAAGAGTATTCACATTATATCGTTAGCCAAGATTATAAAAAGTCAGCACATCCCTGCAGTTAGCACACAGATATGTCTATGGGCAATGACCACATATTTAGCATCTGGTATCCCAGAGTTGATGTGTGAAGAGTCCTGCAATGACTACAAACCATTTAATTGCATTAAATATACGTATTTTTGCCAAAGGTTTTGCCCTCTCTACATTTCTGTCTGCAATGCCCCATTTACAGGCCACAGAAGTTATAGAACTGTTTTCCAAAGGTGGCTTGAGGTTGAGAACAGACCCTATAGGAAGATGGGATCTTCTGAAAAGCAGGAGACACTATGCCTACTTTGGTCAGCTGTGTTTAAAGAACTGTTGTATACACTCTGTGCTTTTTTTGAGGAAAACCTAACTGCCAAGAATCTGAACAGAAGACATGATTACGTATTTCCACTGTATCCCATGGGCTTGGTTTCCAATAAGAATAATTTCCACAAGGCAAAATTTAAAAGTATGTTTTGGTTTGGGCCTGGATAGATACAAGACACAGAAGCAGTAGTCTGAAATCCTTTCAAAAAAACTTTAAGGTCTGCTCTTCCAAAATGAAGTTAATATACTGGTTGTGACATGATTGGTGGAGGGTTCAGGCACTGTTTTTCAGTAGAGTAAAAAGCTATTGAAAATACTAACATTTGCTTAGCATTACCTAGACGTGTTAACACTTTTAAGAAGAATTCTGATTTCCTCTCAGGTCTCTTTCAACTTCTCTTCAAGAATATTTGCAAATAAATATTCAGATTTATTTCTGTGGTTTTCTTCTACATTGTAAAAAATTTAATCAAAACAGAACTTCTAAAATCATTACATTTTCAGTTAAATCATGGTATTAATGACTTTACTTTTAGCTTAGAATATTTAGTATACTGGCTATGGAGGGTATTGCAAGGGGCAGGGATTCCTATTCAAATAGTACACGAAGAAGAAGTGTAGCTGCCCTCACCGAAATTCTTTTAAACGTGTTTTTCATGCTCAGTGTTATTGGTTCTACATCTTTCTACGTTGTTGGGGAATTCAGTTTATGCTCTATTATCCTTAACCTGTAAATAAAGCAATTTCCTATCATAATGATGAATTTCAATAGTAAAGTGCTGTGGTAACAACATATTAATACAAACTGTGATATATTAGGAATGCAATTAGAAAACCTTTCATACCTTACTGTTATAGCTGTTAACACCTGCTTTTTTTCCCTTCAGAGTTTTTCCGAGAACTTCTGGAGAATGCAGAAAGATCCTTAAATGACATGTTTGTTCGGACATACGGCATGCTGTACATGCAAAACTCTGAGGTTTTCCAGGACCTCTTCACAGAGCTGAAGCGGTATTACACAGGAGGCAATGTGAACTTGGAGGAAATGCTGAATGATTTCTGGGCTCGGCTGCTGGAGCGGATGTTCCAGCTCATAAACCCCCAGTACCACTTCAGTGAGGACTACCTGGAGTGTGTAAGCAAGTACACAGACCAGCTGAAGCCATTTGGAGATGTACCCAGGAAGCTGAAGGTTCAAGTGACTAGAGCGTTCATTGCTGCACGGACCTTTGTTCAGGGGCTGACAGTAGGCAGAGAGGTTGCGAACAGAGTATCCAAGGTAATCTAAAATCAAGGGGTTTTTTTAAGCTTGAATTTGTTCTATACTTGCTAGACAATTGAAATCTGGTTGTATGCTTTTTTTTTTTCAGTATGAGGCAGTATGTCTGGTTGTTTTTTATGTCCACTGATACACCCATCCCAAGTTTATAAATAGAGGCAACAGTTGTTTTTCATTCTTTCTGGGGATATTAAGGCAATACTGACTGACTGGAAAGCATTTCTTTGTGCTTAGGACACAATGAAATACCGATATAGATCAATGCTTTAGCAAGGTAGTGATTGTCATTTGTAATTCAAAACTGGATACATATATATAAGATGGGGATTATGATCAGAATTTAAATGTTTCAAGCAAATTTATGCTGCTGTTCATTAGGACAGTACAGCCCTCACAGCATTCATTCATCATGCAGCTGGGTGATGGATTTTGTTAGAAATGTCTAGTCATGTTTCTGATGAGAAAATAGACAAATAGTGACACCTCTGGAGCTCAAGCTTTCCCAAAGGATGGTTTGACTCACATTTATTTTAGTTTCAATTATTTATCTATGCAAATATTTTTGACAATTATAATCCTTGAGGACTTCACATAATTAAAGCTATGTAAAAAAAAACACATACAAAAATAACCCATCTGGGTACCACAAATGTGCCTGAATTACTTTTTCTTGTACAGTATTTCAAACTCAATTATATTTTACTTAAATGCTATTCCAACTGGATACTTGTTCTGTGTTCTTGCTATTTCACAGTCCTCACAGTGTATTTTGACCTTGAATTCTGAAATTGTCTAGTGAGATCCACTGTGAAATGCTCAAACACTCACTTTTGAACATAAGTGCATGAATGATTTTGGTGGTTGGCCCATCCAATACTTTACCTCAAGCAGACTGTCTCATTTGCTTCATTTAAATCACAGCCAGAAAGTAAGGTAGAGCTGATATATTGTACAGTAGACTTCAATTCAAGCACTCAAGAAGATGAGCCTTCTATACTTTTCTTAACCTGTATTATGTGATATTTTGCAATTACAAATTGAGAAACCATGGAACCAGAGAAGGGCTCCATGTCTTGAAGGCAGAGCCTGATTTTATGCCTCAGAAACTGCATTGGAGAAAAAGGTCATTTTGCACTTAAAATTTGGTGAGTGAAATATGTGATCCTGGCTAGTCAGCTAGAATCAAAATCTTTTTCTCCCGCGTGCCTTCCTGGGCTATGGCATCGCCTTCCTTTGTTTTCTGCCACTGCCAGGTCTTGCCATCCTTTTTGAACAGTGGCAGAACCTCGGCAGGAAATCTCAGACTGCCTAGTCTGGCTGGGGGCAGGTATAGCTTTTTAGCCTCCAAGGGTTCAGAATGCATATATCTACAGCCCCAGATTTCCTCTGAAGAGCGATGATGTCCCCATGGGTCACTTTTAAGTGAAAGTGCTGAACTCTGATGTCACTGTTGTCAGCAGGGATTAAGCCTTGCTGCATTAACTGCATCAGACTGTAGTGAGTAAGCTATGTAATTCATGTATTATATATATAATTTGAGAATCCCTCACAGATTAAGGTCTGAATTGTCTGCTGAGATGTCACTTCCCCTGTGTACGTACATGACTGTACAGAACGTGCGACTGTCCGGTCTCACACATCCAGGCAATGTTTTCATCTCGGCTTCTGGGTTTTGGGTACATAAGCTCTTTCAAGAACAGGATTTATAAGAGATCACTAAGTGATCCTATGATCCTATAATGAGAACTACTAGCTCTGCAATCATAAAGTAGGCTTTTTGTAGTGTCACTTGAAGATGATAACAATAGCTCAATAACGCTTCTGGTTTTTTCTTTTAACATGAAAGCAGGACTTGAAATAATCTTTAAAAGGACTCAGTGGTTTGGTGCAGGATACACATAGTGATATTCTATTAGACTGCATCTAGAATACTGTGTTCAGGTTTTGGCCCTTCCTGTACAAGAAAGACATTGACAAACTGAAGTGAGTTCAGTGAAGGCAACCAGCATCATCTGGACTGGATAATTTGTCCTGTGAGGAAAGGCTGTGAGACTGGAGCTTATTCATCCTGGAGAAGAGGGTGCTGCAAGGGCACTTAGCAATAGCTCCTGGTGCTGGTAGGGAGGTCATTAAAGAAATGCAGCAAAGTTCTTCACAGTGGGGCATGGTGTGATATGATGGGCATGAATTGAAGCACTTCCCCTTGTCCTATCGTAGCAAGCCCTACTAAAAGTCCCATCCCCATCTTTCTTATAAGTCCCCTTTAAGTACTGAAAGGCTGCTAATAAAGTCTGCCTGGAGCTTCTCTTCTCCAGGCTGAACAACCCCAAATCTCTGAGCCTGTCACATAGGAGAGGTACTCCAGCCCTCTGACCATCTTTGTGGCCCTCCTCTGGACTCAGTACAACAGGTCTACATCTTTCCTATGCTGAGGATTCCAGAGCTGGATGAAGTAATCCAAATGGGGTCTCATGAGAGCAGAGTACAGGGGCAGAATCACCTCTCTTGACCTGCTAATCATGTTTCTTTAGGATCATTATCCTGTGATCCTATTAAAAGATTAATGAAATTAATATTTTTTATTAAATGTAGAATATGCTTTGATTGCAAGACTAATTTTTGTATTAAAATCTCAGTGTCTGTATTCATTCCCAGAGCAGATGATAAACAATTGCTGAGTTTGGGATTTTGTGTTACATGCAGCCTGGTGAGGCAGATATGAAGAACCATAAGTGGCACCAAATGTTCAAGATTAATAATTATCCTGTGAAAAGGCTGTGGTTATTCTGAGAATGAAGCTTTTGTGTTCATATTATAACTGTGATTTTCTTGCTGGTTTATCTGCTGTAGAAAATGACAAATCCTTTTCTTTAATTTTAAAAGACTACAACCGTTTCTTGGAGTTAGCACATAACTTTGCAACAAAAAATGAGGCAGGTAAACATCTTTTGTTGCTGTTTTGGAAGTCATCCAGATTAGCATGGATTTCATTCTCATTGTACTCTAAATATTGAGAGATTCTGTGATAAGGACGGCACATCTGGGTAAGTCAAGAGAAATTAATAAATGAGAAAATGAAAAGTGGAACTGTTGCAGTTCTTTTGCAGAAGCCTTTGTCCCTTGTCAGCACTGGTTGGGAACAGAGGGGGATCTTCTAGCTGCAACATCACAAGCTTAAAAGCTTTCTCCTTTCTATTTGTGGACCCATTATCTCACTGAACTGCCATTGATACAGAGAAATGTTGAGCCTACACCTTAAACACCATGAGGAGGAGATTCACTAATGAGAAAGTTGGTAACAACATATCCTTCAGGCCTTTAATTTACTTTTTTCATTATCTTCTGGACCATTTCTGTAGAGGAGTTGGTGGGTCACACATGCAGAAGGATTTTTTCCCTCTCTAATATCAGGGACACATCCTTTTTAAAGATTTCTCTTCAGAGAGATTATAATGTCTGAAAACAATGAGTTCAGTGTATTCCTTGCAAAGGAGCTACGCTCCCCTCTTTTTCAAATTAAGTATGCACTCAAGCACACTAAAAGTAGGCAACGTGTTGCAAACATTTTCCTCTTGCAGTAGTATTTTTCAATTTTGTAATTTCCTTGTCAGTGACATTATAATTTAATAAGTCCCATTTAGATAAATGAGGAGGGATTGTGGTTAAGACATCTTATTTTTGTAATTTTTTTCTATTGTATTTCAGTTGTAAGCAGACATAGTTGCTTCCTTCTATTTTAAGTTTTATTATGCCATTTTAGTTGAACAGTATTTTCATAATCTCTAAGTCCAATTACAGTTCTTAATTTTCAGAGCTTTTCAAAAGTTTTTATTTCTCATTCTCATGCATTAAAAATTTATCAGTGCTATGTTGCTATGCTGCTTAAATCTCCATTCAAAGTAGTATATTTCCACTGGCTTGAATAGACCAGGTCTAAGTTCTATACATGCTTTAGAAAGCTGCATATGCATATAACCAAAAAAGTAATTATAGTATTTCTTAAAGTAAAAAATTTAATTCTTAAAATAAGCCTATTTATTTATTAATATAGAAGAATCTAGAATGTGTCAAGTAGGAAGGGACACTTGAAAATCATTGAGTTCAACTCCCTGCCGCTCACAGGACTGCCTAAACTAAACCATATGACTGAAAGCATCATCCAGACATTACTTGAACTCTGACAGGCTTCATTCCATGATTTCTTCCCTGGGGAGACTGTTCCAGTGACCGAGCACCCTCCTGGTGAAGAACATTTCTGTAATGTCCAATTTGAACTTGCCCTGATGCTGCTTCAATATGTAGTATTCAATATACAACATCAGAACTGCCTTTTTGGGTACATTAAAGGTCTGTTTAGTTGATTTTGCCTTAATGCCTAGTAGTTTAAAAGTCAGCACAGGAGCAAAGCTTCTCAATTAGCATACTTTCTTAAGATGTAGGTAGGAGATGTTAATGGACTTTTTGAACTACAGGCTCAGAAATAATTGGTAAAATTTTCTACCACCTATTTTTCCAGTAGTTTGTCAGATTCTAAAAACCTAGCTTTTCTTCCTTGTTACCAGTTGATGGGGGGAAAAAAAGAAAGTGTACTATCCTTTCCTTTTTCTCTGTAAAAAAATAACATATTAAAATGTTACTGGTTTTTAATTTATTCAATTTTTTTAATTTTTTTTTCTGGATAAGAGAAATAAGTAAAAAAAAAAATCACCAAGCCTGCTGTGATTTAGTATTTAATGTTAAACTAGAGAAACCACTGAAAATATTTCTGAAGTTGCTGCTCTCTGTGATTACCAATAATGTGATAGAAAAGATGTATGCATACTTTTCATGTTCATCTTTTACTGTGTCTGAGCTCTGGATACTTTGTAAGAAAATAATGCTAAGTTATTCTTTCTGACTCTAAACAAAGCATTCTCAGTAATCATAATACTCTCTTTGAACTGTCACTGAGTTCAAAGTGGAGAATATAAGGAAAAAACACGTAGGGAGAATAAAGGAAT